CTGCTTCTCCCTCTGACCCTTCCCCCTCTCATGCTCTCTCTCTCTCCCCCAAATAAATAAATAAAAAATCTTTAAAAAAAAGAAAAGCCCTTAAAATTCAAGATTTGCCAAATATTATTGTGCTTCTCTCTTAAATAGAAATTGTAGGAACTGAAGAGTATTAGAAAATTAATACAAAACAATATGTGATCAAATACTGGAGGAGGAAATACTTCATATATATTTTATTTAATCCTTGGTATATCATCAGGGTCCATTGGATCCAGTTCCGTTTTCGAGTATCTATTTTGAGCAGTCTAATTTGTAAAGACGATTATTTTATTACTTTTATTCTTTCTTCGAAATCTTCTAAAGAACAAATAAGAAAGTTATATATTTTTAAAAAAGAATAAAACTTATTCTATCTTGCAATTACCATGTGATTCTTTTATAAATCTAACATGCATTATGGGATTTTATTGATCTTGTTTTTCTTAAATCTTGCAATGATTATGTCACCTTATTTCATCATTGCCCATCAGTTTTTCTCCATCATGCCCAAATATTAAAATCACAAGACTACAAAAGAATGATTGAATGATCTAGAAGGATGATGTAGTAATGAAATCATCATGGTTATACTTCAATTTTCTTATTACTATGTTGCCCGCTTTCAAGAATGTATAATAAAAGTCTATAGAAGCCATTTAAAAATTTTTTTTTCTTGGGGCGCCTGGGTGGCTCAGTCGTTAAGCGTCTGCCTTCAGCTCAGGTCATGATCCCAGGGTCCTGGGATCCAGTGCGGGACTCGATCCAGGGACTCCAGGATCATGACCTGAGCCGAAGGCAGTCGCTTAACCAACTGAGCCACCCAGGCGCCCCAAAGAGTTTTTTTTTTTCTTGGGGCACCTGGGTGGCTCAGTCAGTTAAGCATCTGCCTTCGGCTCAGGTCATGATCTGAAGGTCCTGGGATCGAGCCCCGCATCGGGCTCCGTGCTCAGCCTTGAGTCTGCTTCTCTTTCTCCCTCTGTGATCTCTCTTGCTCTCTCTCTCAAATAAATAAATACAAATCTTAAAAAAAAAGATTTTTTTTCCAACCTCTTATTCTATTTTCAAACATGCAGACAATTTAAAAAGAACTATCCAGTGAACCCTCATAATATCCACTACTTAGATTCTATAAGGAGCATTTCTGCTATATTTGCTTTGCTACGTATCTGTCCATCTAAGAAAAGTTATTAAAAATTCTTATGTTAAATGAAAGATAAAAACATGTTCTATATTGTTTTGATGTGAATTATTATTTAATTTTAATTCCAGTATAGTTAACATAGTGTCATATTAGTTTCAGGTGTACAATATAGTGACTCAGCACTTCCGAACAACACCCAGTTTTCATTGAGACAGGGGCCCTCCTTGATCCCCATCACCTGTTTCCCCCATCCCCCCACCTCCCCTCTCGTGACCATCATGTGTTTTCTACAGTTAAGAGTCTGTTTCTTGTTTGTCTCCTTTTTCCCTTTGCTCATTTGTTTTGTTTCTTTAATTCCATGTATGAGTGAATCATATGGTATTTGTCTTTCTCTGACTGACTTATTTCACTTAGCATAATATTCTCTAGCTCCATCCATGTCATTGCAAATGTTAAGATTTCATTCTTCTTCATGGCCGAGTACTACTCCACTGTATGTATGTATGTATATGCCACATCTTCTTGATGGACACTTGGGCTGCTTCCATATCTTGGCTGTTGTAAACAATGATACCATAAGCTTAAGGGTGCATGTATTCCTTTGAATTCGTATTTTGTATTCTTTGCATAAATAACCAGTAGTGCAATTGCTGGGTCACAGGGTAACTCTATTTTTAACTTTCTGAGGAATCTCCACACTGTTTTCCAGAGTGGTTGCACCAGTTTGTGTTCCCACCAACAGTGCACGAAGCCTCCTTTTTCTGCACATCCTCACCAACGTCTGTTGTTTCTTGTGTTGTTGATTTTAGCCATTCTGACAGGTGTGAGGTGGTATCTCATTGTGGTTTCGATTTGCATCTCCCTGATGATGAGGTATGTTGAGCATCTTTTCATGTGTCTGGACTTTAATTCGTAGGGAGCTTATAAGCTATTTGTGGTAACAACACATCCCATCTGACCACACTGCATAAGTCACTTCTTTCTTATTTTAAATTATAAAAAGTAATTATCCTTGCAAAAAATCAAACGGTCTAAGGAACAGAGGGAACGTGCCCCTCACCCTTGGGGCACGAGGCCACACAGCTGGTGCTTTGGAGCCTGCCTCCCCACCTCCCATTCCCAGGAGGAGTCACTGCTGGAGAGCTCAATTTAAGAGATTATAAAAACTAAAACTTACCATGCTTCCAGCTGCCATCTTTACCAAAAAACTGCAGCACTGTTCGCACAAAGTCCTTAGCATTAAAACAAACAACAGGACATTTACATTTCAGCATTTGAAACAGCACTTTCCTGGAAGATAAAAAGAAATTCACTGGTTTAGACATTAATTCAGAACTTCTGACCTTGGAAAAAGTACCTTTATTACTCTACCGACAGGTGTCACTTGCTAAACTACCTTGTAGGCGTTCTTTTTCTAGGAGCCTTCCGTGGGTTAACCTGAATCCTGTGGGAAGGTGTTACTTCTCTGCACTTACAGATGAGGAAGCTGAGACAGGCCCCACGGCTGTTCAGAGCCCATCCCTGGGAGAAGTCGCATTACTGCAGGCTAAGCCCAGCGGTACCCGAGCGGAGCGCACACTCTGGACTCCTTACAGGCTCCCCGGCACGGCTCTCCAGCCTGCTCTCCCAGCACGCGCTCCCAACACTCTGCCCTCCGCTCACACTGAATTGTCTTTCCTCCACCAGCACACGGTGCCACATCCTCCCACAGTCTGGGCCATGCCCCATGCTGCATTCTCGCCTGCAATTCTCCCACGATTTCTGCAAACTGCCCCTTTCTCCAGGCGGGGAGTCCCCCCTCCTCTGTTCCTTCTCTACTCCAGTCCATGTACCACCTGCAGCCGGGACCACATTTGTACCGTAATTTGCCTTGAAAGTAGGCTCACCCCATTGCTCTGTGAGCTCCTTGGATATGGGATTCGTAAGAGTCGGCATTTACTGAACACTTACCATGACACCATGCTAAACACTTCAAAGGACTGTTACACTGAAATCTCAGCACAACCCTGTTAGGCAGGCACCAGATCCACTTTACAGATAAGGAAGCTGAGGCTCAGAGTGGCTAAACAATTTTCCCAGCAAGACCCTATCTTGCTGCTGCCAGGGCCCGCACTGTAAGTCTTCCTTTATAGGAACTCTCTGTTCATACATTAATGAGGGTCTTGCATGAGGCTGAGGGAGAAAGAAAGCAGGAGCCCACTCAGCTCTGCACACAGAGTCAACAGAAAGTTAGATTCTGCTCAGCTTGCTGCACAGACATTTGCATTTTCTTGCGTGGCTTCCACATGGGTATCCCTGGAAGAGGGGGCCCGGCTGGTAGAGAGGACAGAGGGCCAGCAGCACCGTGTCAGGTTTTGGCTCTGTGGACTCGGGATGGCGCAGGGAAGAGAGAAGGGGAGAGGGGATGGGAGCTTACAGGGGAGAAGAGCTGCACTTCCACGCTGACGCCCTCACTTGCTGCAGACGCCAAGTCCCTACTAAGGTCACCTAAGAACTGCAGGATCTCCCACTAGTAAGAGATGCAGGCTAGTGGGTTTCTTTTTTTTTTTTTTTTTAAAGATTTTATTTATTTATTTAAGACAGAGAGAATGAGAGACAGAGAGCATGAGAGGGAGGAGGGTCAGAGGGAGAAGCAGACTCCCTGCCGAGCAGGGAGCCCGATGCGGGACTCGATCCCGGGACTCCAGGATCATGACCTGAGCCGAAGGCAGTCGCTTAACCAACTGAGCCACCCAGGCGCCCAGGCTAGTGGGTTTCTAACTTAAGGTAAGACAAACAACAAAAAGAGCATCTTGCAAGACAAAGTGACTGAAACACAGTGTGTTTTGTAAGTCAGTTATAGAAGTCAGTTGTGTCACATTTGCAAACAAAAAGGCAGCCAGAATATAAAAAAGGTAGACTTGGGTCTAAAAGAGGAGGCTTGAGTCTCAAGACTGACTTAGGGCTATTTCTCTGAGTCTCAGTTTCGCCATCTATAAAGTGGAACTAATAAGACCCAACACATACAGTTAATGTGAAGATGAAGAGAGCACGTGTGTGTAAG